AACACGCTATATACCTTTAATGTATTTCTCGCTGTAATATTTTTTAAGTGATTGCAGTGGACTTTGAGTGGTGACTTTGGTTATTGAATTAGCGTGGACTTAGTGATGGGGGAAAGGGTTGGCATGGGAGAAAATAGTAATAGTAATGATAATAAAAATATTAGTAATAATAATAATAGAAAAAGGGGAGGAGAAGAAAAGAAGTAGAGAAGGAAGAAGAGAAGGAGGAGAAACAATTTTCTTGGGTGTTTAATATTTGTTAGGCATGATTCTAAGCTCTTTGCTTATATTGATTCATTTAACTTAGATCAAATGGCCTTTTACTGGGATCAGAGATGGGCTCAAGCAAAAGTTATGAGAGCTCAGACATTTAGGAGGATGGATAGAGATGAGTTACTATGAAGCAAGGGAATAAACGTTGAGCCAGGGATAGAGAAGTCCATCGGCTACAAATTTTCTATGCAGTGAACATGCTTATATATAAATCATTTTGAATTTCACCAACTAATTTGGTTAACTAAGGAATGTTAACCATTCACCACACATTGTAAATGAAATACCATGTTTTCTCTCTAACATTTTACTGTGATATTTTGATTTTTGGTTGTACAGAAATTGTGTGTTGAAATATAATAAAGTTCTGGTTTTTTAAAAAAAAAGGGGAAATCAGAAGTAGAGAATTGAAATTTGGAAAAAAAAATATTGTAAGTGTTGAGGATTAGTGTATGGAGCCCAGAGTACATGGAGTAACTGATTTGAACTTTTGGATATCTCTTGTTGGGGGGTGAGTAACTTGGGGGACAAGAAAAGAAAGAACAGAGATGAAGTGAGGTTGTACTCAGCAGTAGTAAATCTGGAGAATTTGTAGGAGAGCGTGGGCTAAGATGAAGAGGTGGGAGGAGGTGAGAAGCATGAGTTGGGTAAGTGAAGGTAGGTTGTAAAAGAGTGTGGGCAAGAAGAATGTCACCAACAGAAAACAAATTTGGAATGTGGGGCTCTGCTCTGAGGAGAGCTAAGCAAGCATCATAAAAGTGCGTCATCTGAGCCCAGAATGGATGGAGTTGGTGAGGCTGAGCTGTAATTGTTCTGAAGCTGGTGGAGAGTTAAGCTGTAGTTGGCTGTTAGGGGGCAGAGTAGGTTGATGAACAGACTGGGAGGAGACTTGAGACCCAGAGGTGGGTTTGATTTCTCTCTTGACCCCTTGCCATTTTTAAATGAAAGAGACCAGCTTTTTGTGTGTGTGAAATAAGTGAGCAATAATTAGCAGCAGGTAGCTCTGACTCTTATTTTCTTAAACTGAGAGCATCAGAATTGCCTTTGCCGTGACCCACATTAGCCACAGGAAGCTCTATAACTCATGTCCTCCATGCTTGGCTCCTCAATTTGCTTTGCTTGATGTGCAGGGAGATTTAGTGAGTCGGAGTGGCAAGCCCCCCGGGGGGAGCCTGTGGAGTTTAGTGCTGACACTGCATTTAGTGCCACTATTGCAGCCATTTTACTATGTGTAAAGGGCCATTCATTTACTCTAATGTGTACTTTCCAAACCCTTTATGAGGCATTCTCTTGAGATTTCTCATTCTCCTTGGTGTTGGTGCAAAATGTCTATTTTGGAGTAGATCCAAAAAATCAGTAAGTGGAAGGTACCCTGTAGCTATCTTTTGCCATTGTGTCTCTACAACCTTTAAAAAGTGAAGTGTGTTGCTTAAAACATCACTACCTAATACTTTTTAAAAGTTCCTTTGGTGTTTATGTTTTTAATTAAAAAAATATTGGCTCTATGGGTGGTAACACCAACTTAAGTTACCAGCATTTTCAGGCATACTTATCAGTTGTAAGAATTTTGCTTTTTGCAGAAATGTACTAAATATACACCTTGCTTCCTCATGAATGAACGTTTACCAGAAAATCGCAACAAATATAAGATGTTCTTACTACATTGTTTGCTCCTTAATGACCAGAGTATATAGCTGAAGTTGTGCCAGACCCTTTTGGTGGACTAAAATAAGATCAATGGCAACTGGGGAAATGTGTGAGAGAAAATTCTAAGTAGTTTCTACTGGCTGAGTTCATCACAGAATGACACAATTATTGCTTTAACAGTGATCTTTTTGATTGGACATTTTATTTCTGAGAGCCAAAAAATTTCAAAAACACAAATCTGATTGGTCTCCACTGGGGAAGGAAGAGTGTATGTAATTTCACAGATGGCTTCTGGAATTAAGGGTCCCATTTTTTCCTGCCGGGATTTTTCAACCCACTGGGGTTGAAAGTTATTGGCAAATGATATTTTAGTGATAAACCTGGTTTTTGTAAGTTCCGTGGCTTCTCTTTAAAAAAAAATCAGAGGATCTGACTGCTTGGATTCATATTTTTCCATGTCAACCATGGAGCTGGAGAGAGCTGCCTTCCTCAGGCAGGGGATTTCCTCTCTGCCTGGTCTTAATCACTGCTTTGTGTCCTCATGCTATCTGCCTGGCTCCTGTAGGACTTTGAATTTTTGTGATTCGGCTTTAAACTTCATAGGTGGAGGACTCAGAATTCTCTTCCACAGCTTCGGTCCCCATCCAGCTTCTCATCCCATCTATAGTATCTATGCATTCTTTCTGCCCAGAAATCCCGTTGACACCCGAGTCACAACATACTACAAATGTTTTCATTATTTCCTTCCTGCCTTCTCTTTCCAGCTTCGCTGCTATCCTCCTTGCTCTCTCAAGGTTGAATTGTGTCTGAGTCTTTCTCTTTTGCATCCATATCTAAAGGCTACCAAGAGTTACTTCTTCCATCTTGGCATGGTTTCATCTGCCCACATTCCCTACATTCTGTCTCTACATCCACCCACCATCCTGTTGCAGGTGCAGTCGATCCAGGTAGATCATCAGCCTCCAGACAGCTTGCTTCCTTTCTACTTTCTGCTTCTATCTGTTTTCCAGGCAGGGACAAAAATAGGCTTAAGCAAATTCCATTTTTATTTGGTCACTTTCCCTTTCGAAAAGCTGCTGTGATTTCCCATCTCTCTTTATACTACATGGAACTCTTCTGTTTTGCAAAGGCTTTACCTGTTGCCTCCACAAATCCTTTTCTTGCCAACTAAAGTTTATATTTCTTGGCTTGGATTCATCCACATCTCTTAGCCTGCTGGTTTTCATTTTATAGGTTTTTGCATATCTGTATCTCCCCTTCTTTGCTAGTTCCTGACCTCATTTGATATCCACCTTACATCCCCCCTCCTCCTCAAAGCGTACCCTTGTTCATTCTAGTAGATCTTAATTATTCTTTTGCTCTGCATTCTGCCTAAACTTGTATGTTGGGGTCAGCAGAGTGGAGTAGTTCAGAGCATGGACATGCTTGACTTTACCTGCTGCCGTGTACTGACTATGAGGTCTTAGGACTTGCTGAGCCTCCATTATCTGAATTGCAAGCAAGGTCGTAATAACAACACTGGACTCCTTGGATTGTTATGATTAAATGTGATAACAAATAAACATTTGGTACTCAGAAACCAACAGGCCAGTGTCTCAGAGAACATCTCTAGCCATCTCACATGCCTACAAAGTGGAGTTATCCACACTTTGAAGGGGAGAATCTGGTTTTCCTTATCTTTGTACTCTGATGCCTTACGACCACGCCTAACACAGATTCAATGATCTTTGTTGAAAAATGAAGATAGGATGTGATCATAAATTGATTACAAAGATTAATTATTGTGATCATTCTTGCTATTATTTCTCAATTCTTTGTCATCACACCATGAACAGGAAGGAATACGTACAGTAATGTGCATTTTCCAACCATGTCTATTTTTTGGGAGGTCTGTTTTAGGGTAGCTGCAGATGCTGATTACCTTCTGAAGGCAGTGACAGGAAGTTTGAGGATTTTTCATTCTTTTGTATTCTTTGCTGCTTTTTTTGCCTTTCATTCCTCTGTCATCTACTTAGGGATTCATTATGTACTCATCATAGCTGCATATAAATAATATGTAAATGAATAGTCATGACATTTATGGATTTGTTTTTAGTTTTTTACTTTATTTTAGGAATTTGGGTCAGAGGGGGATTCTTCATTTCCTGGTGTTTCCATTTTCTTAGTTTCCAAATGATAGCATGAAAGAGACAAATATAATCATTGGTAACTGATGAGCGTGTTCTCCAAACTCATTTTATTTGCACATATTTCTGGCACCATCACCATCGGCATCACCATCCCCATTAACATAAAAATTAAATTTCATTCAGATAAATTTCCCAAGAACTTGCCATGGTTGTTATCTACTATTTCATGTGTTCACAAACATCTTTTGCTTTGGAAAGGGAAAGTGCTGGGATCAGCACTACTGCGTTCAGTATGCAAATGAAAGTTTTATAGAAATAGGACTGTACTGGAGACAAAATTAATTGTGACAGTTGGGGAGGAGTTTTACAGAAAAAGAAGATTAACGTGTTAGGTCTTTAGTGGCTGTCTTCCCTGAAGCATATAATGCTGGGCAAAATGAAATCTATGTGCCCCACCTAGCTCAGTGCAGGAATGCTTATTGAGTCCACAGAAATTTGAGCAGGCACATCTCGAAGGGTTTATGACAGCCTATTTTCTTTTCTCCGTGTGGGGATGAATTGGTCCATTATCATCTAAATTGGAAGTCATGGTGAAGATTCTTTTTTGATTCTCTTATTTATTTATTTTTTGTTTATTTGTTAAGAAACTTGCACAGAAAATGTCTTGCTTATTCTGAAGTAAGTTGCTATTATTCTTCAGACCAGAAGAGACTATACCATTGTATTTCTTCAAATATTTATGAATACATAAAAGGAAAATATTTATATAGCATGAGACCAGATCTAACTTAACTTGTTTCTTTGATTCTTCAGCATAGGCTAAGTAATACAACCTGTTATGGTAAAAAAAAAAAAAAATCTTATTTTCAAGCTTTTGAATGATTTTTGCAATGATAATACAGAAAAGTTATTTTTATATATTCACATTTTTTTCTTTTGCTCCAAGGAAACCAACATGTCTGACAAAAGTGACTTAAAAGCTGAGCTAGAGCGCAAAAAACAGCGCTTAGCACAGATAAGAGAAGAGAAGAAACGGAAGGAAGAGGAGAGAAAAAAGAAAGAGGTAAATACTGGGTATTGGGGTGTTGCGGGGAAAAAGGAAAAACACCTGATTCTGAGGGGCTGGTCAAATGATTAAGAGGGTGCTCCAGAAGAACCCTTCTGTGATCTCTGAATAAAATGAGTGGATATCTGCATACGCGGAGTAATAAGATCATTGTCACCTGCTGTGTACTAGTCAAGCACCACTTATGGTCAGAGGTCTCCAAGCCCCAGGTTCACCTTAGACTTGAATAGCACCTTGAAAGTGATCTGTGAAATCTCTATTATTAGAAATTTCTTAACATTTCTGTATCTTGGTTTCCTATCCTTAATATGGGAATGCTAATATATTTTTTATGGGGCTGTGAGAATTAAGAGTTAATCTTGTAAAGCATTTAGTAGTACCCAGGCTCTAGTAAGTGTTTAATATGTGTTAGGGTTTTTAAAAAATTATTTATTTATTTATTTATTTATTTATTTATTTATATTTTAGAGATAACTTTTTTAAGTCTACTTATTTATTTTCGAGAGAGAGAGAGAGACTGTGCACGCACATGAGTGAGAGCATGAGTGGAGGAAGGGCAGAGAGAAAAAGGGAGATATAGATCTGAAGCAGGCTCCAGGCTCTGAGCTGTCAGCACAGAGCCAGATTCAGGGTTCAAACTCATGAACTGAGAGATCGTGACCTGAGCCAAAGTCAGATGCCCAACTGACTGAGCCACCCAGGTGGCCCAGGAGAGAGAATCTTAAGCAGGTTCTGTGCTCAGCACAGAGTCCAATGAGGGACTCTATCCCACAGACCATGGGGTCATGACTTGAGCCAAAATCAATGGTCAGACACTTGACCGACTGAATCACTCAGGAGCCCCAATATGTGTTAGTTTTAAGAAAAAGTTTGTTTGTTTGTTTGTTTTAAACTACGAGCCTGGGATGCTTGGATGGCTCAATTGAGTGAGTGTCTGACTTTGGCTCAGGTCATGATCTCTCGGTTCATGAGTTCAAGCCTGGCATTGGGCTCTGTGCTGACAGTGTGGAGCCTGCTTCAGATCCTCTGTGTCCCTCTCTGCCTCTCCCTTGCTTTCACGTTCTGTCTCCCAAAAATAAATAAACATAAGAAAAAAACTACTGGCCAGAACATTTTAGAAGAAAAACAGAAAAATGATGCCAATGGATTTCCATGGTTTCCAAAGGGGTAAGGGTAGATAGTATAGTAGTGGACTCTGCTCCATGGACATAGAATTATGACATTTTGAAACTAGAAGAGATTCTTTAGAGACTTTCTACTGAAACCCCTCTTTATGCCTACAAAGTAGCAGAAACCCAGAGATGAAATATTGCTTTTCTGTCTGCCACACCCAGGATCCAGGACTCCAGATTCCCAGTTCAGTGCATTTCTGTCATATCATGTTTTCTTCTCCTAGCCCAATCCAACAAATAATTTATTTTTAATTCTCCAGTTTGTTGCGGTCATGTAGAAATAGCCCACATCTTGTACAAAAACCAGATGCCAAAGGTGGTTTGGAATCATTTTCTGAGAAGGAAACTTTATGTAGTATGATATACTTGTGTGTTTAGAAACCAGAGCTGCCTCCATACTTGGAATCTTCCTGTAAGGAAAAATAAAATGTCTTTTGGTGCCTTATAATCTATAAGGGTGGGAGACCAAGGTAACAGATTCATAACAATTATTTCCCAACAAAGTAAAACATAATTGCAGTTGTGTTTTAGCCTCCTGCCATCTCACATCCCTCCGTTCCATTACACTTTGATTGATGCCATGGTCTTATTTGTCCTTGACAGTGCGCATAATGTTTTTCTCTTGGTGATCTTTGCTATTACAAATGCAGTCTTTGAGTGAAGTAGAGGTGAGAATTGACAAGGAATGGCTATTCATTTCCATGCAAAGCCAAAAAAAGCATTAGGTTATTATGCTTCCTTTCCTTCAGATGTCAACACTTACTATAGTTTTAAAGCACCTGTTATCCTTTACTAATAACCAGTTTCCTTTTAAACTGACATTCTAATATCCAATTTGAATTTCATAGAATTACCACAAAATGTGATGTGGTATGGGAAATCTGGTTCTAAATTATGCTGTCTGCTTCGTCTTTGTCATTTCACCTATGGAGGAGGGGGATTGCAGGCAAACAAGACTGACTGAAACAGGCCACCCTTTCTGTTTCTGCACTGGGCAGCTTTGCCTGACGGAGATTTGGCCTGTTATACAGCAGACAGAGTCCTGGGAGGTTGGCAGTGGCGGGTGGTGGGGAGTGTGGTTCACCTGAACTCTCTATTTCCTAGTCTGGAATTAAAGGCACAGTCTTAGTTTCTTCATTTCCAAGGTTTAAGCCTGTGGTATCCTGACCTTGCTCCATGGGCTCCAATGGCAATACAGAGTCCTCATCTTCCATCTCAAAGTTTTTGATTTGAAAGATCCAAATGGGGCCAGACTTTGGGATTCACTGGACGGCACCATCGTTAAAGCCTGTCCTGTTCCCCAGCAATGCATTTCCCCCTGAGAAAGATCTTGCCTTGATTGGGTCAAAGTAACTTGTAGACTGTGATGACTTGTTTGTCTGAACAGACGATGCTGTAAGACAGAGCCAGGAAAATTCAGTGACTATGCATGGAGGCTTCTGAGGTGAATGTGGCTGGGAAACCTGGCTCTGCCCTTTACAGAATGGCCTTGAGTGAGTATGGGACCTTTCTGACCCTGTTTTCCCTTGTGTAAAATGGAGAAAAGAATAACCTACCTCGCAGAGTTCTGGGAGGATATAAGGAGCATATAAGGCACAGAGGGACTGGTCAGTAAGAAGCAGTGGTTATTCTGCTCCTGAAATTGGCAACGAGAAGAGGAGAATGCAGCCCCATACAGCTGGCTATATACATCTATCAGGATCCTGCTGATGAGGCCATTTTCCAAAAATGCTCCGTTATTGGAAGGATCTCTAATTCAAGGGTTCTAGCTTCCTGGAATTATAGCATTTTGTAGCTGAAGAAAACCTGAAAGTTTTCAAATGAGGATACTGAGCCCCTGAAGTCGAAGCCTTAAGGGTAGCTGCCCTTATCTGCAGTCTCAGGAAGGATCTCCTCTTCCAGCCCATGGCTCTAAACAGAAACCTTGAGTCATTCTTCTACTACCTCTTCTCCAACTTTTAGTGGCATCAGATCCTGGATGAACAAGATAGCACTTTCTTCTCTTCCCCATCTCCTTTCTTCTTAAATCCACATTCTGGCCAGTCTCAGCTACTTACATGTCCCCTATGGGCCACACTGTCTCTTGACAGGGAGCTTGTGAATTTTCACTCACTGCTTATACCATTCTCCTACTTCCCTTTTAACTTTATTGTCCTTCTCCTGAATGTTAACTACCTGTCTTTCAGTTCTCCCCTCAAATGTCACTTCCTCCAGAAAACCTTCTCTTCTACCTTTCTCCTCACCGTGACTAGTTAGTCTTGCCCCGATCCTTGACTTCATCACACCAGTTAGCACAGAGCATTATGTTTGCCTCTTCACTTGTCTTTGTCTCCTAAGAGAGAGCAGGCTTTTGAGGACAGGGCTGGTGTTTTGCACAGATCCTTTCACCTAGTTGAACTAGGATTGAATAAAGGATTGAAGCATGAATGATTGAATGCATGAATGAACACATTGACTAGTTAGTGGTAGTCTGAGATGCTGGTCACAGACAGCATCTTTCCAAACAGACACCCTTTCCAAACATTTGGAATCCTTTCCTGCAAATATCCTTGGAAATTCTGATCTGGAGTCTATAGGATGCCCCAGTCAACTGTCACTGACTCCTGAGTTTAAGATTTTCTAGTTTTTGTGGGGTTTGTAAAGAGTTAACAATAGCCTTAACTTATAGATTTAATTTTTAACTTTATTTAGGTTTATCTTTTAAAGAACACAAAGTTAGAATAATAAGGAAACAAAATGTTCCTTAATGCTAATCTGAATGACTGTTTTTCACCAGGACTGAAAATTGGTGTGAATTAGGACCACCTAGGTTGATTATCTCCACAGACTCTAGAAAGCTATACATGTATAAAATTACCACTCTCTGCCTCTTTGGATGTCAGCTGCTTTCTTGATTGTGATATTATGGATGAAATCTGATTTCAAAATAAATATAGTGGCCACCGTTTCAGATTCAGTCCCAGTTTCATGAAAAATTGGCTTTAATGCAATGAGGTGTCCTTAATGGGGCCACCCTGAAGTTTTGTCCTGTCCTTGGCCTTCTGCTGAATTGCTATAAGGTGGGAAGGACAGATGTTTCCCGGCCTGTCCTCAGTTGTTTCTTTGATAACTTGGAGCTGTCTTTGAAAAAGTGACTGACAGTTTTCAGCTGACAAGTTTCCTTTCTTTGACATTCCTCCCTGAGCCTCAGCTATGATCATTCTTTGCAAACAGAAATATCATTTGCTGGGATAGACGCCTAGCACATTTTTTAATTGTTAGCACTGCGAAATCACTCCTATTGAGTCATTAAAATATATTAGGAATCTGTAGTAATTACATGGAAAAAAGCAAAAGTTTCATGACTAGAGCACTTGGTATAACTAACTGCCTTGGATGAAGTATCACTCTATTTGGTGTAAGGTGCTAATTGGTAAGATATGAATTGCCTTTATTTTCAATAAGCCCCAGTTACCTAATTTTGCATTTTTCATGGTTGCCTTTGAGTGCTGATAGCTTTCTTAAACTTTTGCTACAACAAGATGGACATTTATGCTAACTAATATATGTCATCATATTGCCTCCATCCTTAAGAATTAAAGAAGGTGGAAGGCAGAGCATGAGTTGTAGAGGCACCTGTAGGAAAATGAATGAAAGTTTGGAGGCGGAGTTCAGGTCTACTGTCTTTGCACAGTGCATTGTTATGCATGCTGACATGTCTTATGCCCTCTAGTATGTTTCTTGAATGCTTAATGCTTAAAGAATAAATTAAAGAAAACATTCTGTGCCTTTCCTCATAGGATATACATGACAGAAAGTTATAGAAAATATACTCTAAGTTTATTGGAAAGGAAAGGATTAGGCAGATCTTGTTCCATTTGCTCTATTTAAGCTGCATTAGAACCTCTCTGTCTCATTACCATTGACACTCTGTTATCCTTCACTACGTTTTTGTTAAAAGAATGTGGAAAGGTTAATGATTCTTTTTGTTGTTAGGGTATGACAATGGCTTTGTTTTGAACACTGGGTCACTGCAAGTTTAGAGGACTCCTTCAAAAAGTGCTGTTGTAAAGGGGCTTGCTGAACGGGGTGCTGTTGGCAGAAATTGTCCTGAAGGACGTAGAATTCTGAGATTCTATAGTTATAGAATAGCAATTACCAAAGGCAGATATTCGTTCATTTACTCAATACATTAAAAATCTTTAATGTTTAATTTTGAGAGAGAGAGAGAGAGAGAGAAAGAGCACAAGTGGGGTATGGGCAGAGAGGAAGACACAGAATTCGAAGCAGGGTCCAGGCTCTGAGTTGTCAACACAGAGCCTGACGTGGGGCTCAAACTTTCAAACCACGAGAATGCTTAACTGACTGAGCCACACAGATGCCCCTCAATACACTTATATTGAGCATCTTATGTGTCAGGCCATGATCTAGATGTGAGGATAGAGAGGTGAACAAACTAAAAACGTATCTGCTCTCAGTAAAGCTGACAGTCCAGTGATGGCTAAACTCTTCACTGTAAAATCATACTGTTTCGTACTGGCTTCCTAAGACAGATTTTGCTTCTCTTAGTTTTTCCATTTGTATTTTAGTAACTTCTATGGTAATTCCCTTTTCTTTGATTTCCTCCATTCTTCTTTTAACTTTTGGGTATATGAATGTTGATATAGATCCTTACTCTCCAAGGTCCTTCTTCCTATTTTAGTTCTATCTTTGTCTCTGTTATGCACATACACTTTGGAACTTGCTTCACTAAGTTTAAATGTTAAAATTGGAAAAGAATGTGAACTTTGCTATCTTGACAGAGATTAAACTGCCATTCCAGAATTTTGGGTTACATGAGAGTGCCAGGAAGCCTCTGGTGCTCTCATTAGCCATCATCAACCCCCATAATGATAGTTTTTCCTCAAATGACAAATAGAATTCAAAACATGAGACCATTTTAAGCCTGAGGCAAATAATAACAAAAGTGTCAAGCCCAGCATTATGTGCAGAGATGCATTTTGCTTACAATCAGTGTGTAGGGTATCATCTGGGAGTAAGATAAAAGTTTCATGGACTTTTTGTGCTTCAGATGCCACAATGTAAGTTATGCTTTGGTGCTTGGAAATGTACCCAGCACCCTTGAAGCAGGTAATACCTGTTAGGTACCTAACTCGCCTATCGTACTCGAAGATGTGCTTGGTAACTGGATAATTAATTGGCTTTTGACAAGCTTAAGATAACTTCACTTTTGTAAACTCTCAAAGCTTTGTCACGAAGTAGCTGCATATCAGATAGGATATTACCATGTTTCAGATGTGGGATAAATGCCTTGTCTTAAGTAATTAACTGTGTTATGAAAAAGAAGAGACCTGAATGTTTAATTACCCCAGAATTCCATCACTGACCTTCTTTAACCTATATTTTATTATTCCTATCCTGTAAAAAACACAAACCAGACATAGGATCTGTCTTTACAAGGCTCTGTGTTTTTTTGACAGAATTTGGGAAACTTCTTCTGAATGATGTTTTTGTTCTATATTTTTCTACAAGATAATTTTCACCCTTGAGTTATATATTTAATGGAAGCCTATGAAAATCAGAATTAAGTAACAACACTTACATATCAATATTGCTCACATGCCTTAATAAACATTGTAGCATGGTTTGCTTAGATTACTGATACAGAGTGTATTTTGCAGTTATAGATTTCAGAACTAATTTTATTTTTTAGCCACATCCCAATAATTCTTTGTTTGTATAATCCAACATGAGGCATGAATATTATAAATACACACTCATCAAGAATTGATAGATAGTATGTCTTCCCAGAAGGGACAATGGGGTTGAAAAAGGCAAACAGGATTGAAAAAAATAATAACCTATATCCCAGTGAGAAGTATTTTAACTCTTATGGTTTCTTTCAAAACTGGGTAAGGGAAACTTTCATACCATGCGATAAAAGCAGGGGTAAAACACCTTCAACCAAAAGAGAAAGCACTGGGTTAGTAATTATTAAATGGAACAGTTACAATGTATTTTCTACACATGATTATGCACATGATTATATCTATTTAGGGCTTTTGCTTGGTCTTCACTGCCACGCATTTCCATTTTCAGTTTAAGCCAGGAAAAGCATACATTTAGGTGTGTTATTAACTTTTCTTACTGGCGTCTACTCTTTTTAGGCTGATATGCAGCAAAAGAAAGAACCTGTTCAGGACGACTCTGACCTGGATCGCAAGCGCAGAGAGACAGAGGCTCTTTTGCAAAGCATTGGTATATCGCCGGAGCCCCCTCTAGGTATTTAAACGGTGTTACTGTTTTCTAAAATTTGACTTGCATGGGATATACCATGTCCAGCGTTTGCTATTCTTTTATGTCTCTTTTATTTTTATTTTTAAAGAAATTCTGTGGCTTATGGTTCAGGTGTATTTATTTTTGGAACTGAAGGGGCTGGAAGGAGGTGGGAAGACAGATTGCTGCTTATTGACTGATTATATGGTCAACCTTCTCGACTGTGTACTAGTAGATTATTTTATACTTGTTAAATGAGTTGCCACATGGTAAACACATGAAATCTTGGAATTTTTTCTTAAATTGTTCTTCATTTCCATCAGTGAATCCCAGCCTCTCTCTGCCAACCTAAATACTGTGAATCTGGTTATGAATTTCATAACCACTACAAGCATAGGACTATGCCATGATGAAAATAGAAAGCTTAGTGGGATATGTGAAGGAAAACTTAAAATAGTGACAAATTAGCAGCTACTTAACAAGTTTAAATTTATTCAACTCTATTGTAGATCTTGGTTTTACTGCTAATTGGCATTTTTACTGCAACAACTTTCCTCCAACTCATTCATTTGTAGTTAATTGTCCATGATCTCATTTTGCCACTAGGGTTTGGATATTGAACTATTTGTTTTATTTGTGTTGAAGGTAAACTTCTACATGATATTTTTATTCTGTCACTTAATTGTGTATCTCTCATGTGATCATTTATTTTACTTCCCTTTATCCATTTGCTTTCCATACATTTCAGGATAATCCTGGGGTGTCTGTGAAACTGCATGATAGCCAATATAGTAAAAAAAAAAAAAGCAACTCTAAAAATACTGCACATAAATAGATACAATATCAAGTCTTCATTTCAAAATGGTTTGTTTTTTTTAAATCCCACCATTGGCTTTTATATTAAAATAAATTTTCATTTATTTCCATAGTTACCTAAGTTAAGAGTAAAAATTGTACGATGTGCAACAAAATGACAAGCATTTTATTAACATAAATAAGAACAAGCAGTATATAATAAGCTAATGAATTATTAAATATTACTGGATATAATTTAATAAATACACACAATTAAAACACCATAAAAAGTCATTTTCTACTGAACCTCAGTCTGCACTAGGTAAAATCATATGTCTAACAATGATATAAGCAGCCTCTACAAGATATTGGTTACTTCGTTTAACTTCTTTATGGTATGGAAGATGTAACCTTTGGGATATTTGGCCGATGGACCTTCATTGAGGAGCTGACAAACCTTTTAATACTTAGTTGACTTGTCACATAATGTAGACACTTTGCAATAATCCATATGTTTTTGTCTCAAAATAGCCTTTGAAATTCTGTTGCAGTGCGAACACTGGTTAAACTCCGTAGTAGTATGTCCTATTTTCCTCTATTCTATGTTTAAACGCCAGCAATTAAACTTTAAGAACCAGAGAGTTAAATATCTCTTAACCATGACCACCACGACCAGATTCGGAGCTGTTGCTGCATTCCTGCCAGGGGATGTAGTGTGAGTGGCACCCATTTTCAGTTTTCATCCATCTCTCCACCTTACCCTCTGACTTACTGCAGAGGGTAATCAGTGAATTAATTGTGGGAGTGCATGAAATTCCTACTTTCTTGACAGATCTGCCATTGTGTTATAGGATTTGGACAAAATAGTTAAAGCTTTTACTCTATTAAATAAATAAAAGGAAATTGCACATGATTGAAACCAAATGGGAATCTACACTTATGTATTGAAGTTTCTTTCTGTCCATATGGCTTCTTTGGCACGTGTGATATTGAGAACCCACTGAATTCATCTGGCCTGGAGCCATCTTGGCTATTTGGTGCAGCTTCTATCTGAAGGACGTTTGGCTTGTACCTGAAGGATGGAAAAAAAGTACATTTGCATTTCCTTTAGCTTTTTTCTTTTATTATCCTTGCTGTCAGATTTTCAGCTTGCACTGACCTCAATCTTTGAACTTATTTCCCCTGTCTTCAGAATGGCAGTTTATTTTGTACCCATGGCAGTGCCTTGTAGGGCTGCTGCAGGCAAAGGAAAACAAGTTCCAAAGGCAGTAAACAATACAATGGGATGAAACTGTTAATTAAATGTAAAAATAAAGCAGCCTGGCATTTTCCTTTGTTTTGAAAGAGATTTTTAAATTACCAGGTTCACCATTTACCCTTTCTCTTATCTGTCATTTAGTCTCTCATGGCAAATGCAGTTTATATTCCATGGACAACACACAACCCCCCACCAATGTAGACATACAACAGACTTTCCTGTCTCTCCTTGACCACTTAAAATCATTCAGAAATACTCATTCCATAAGATTTTAAAGTTTTATAGACACCCATTTTTTAAATAGGTCACATCTATACTAACAAAATAAAGTGGAGAATTGAAATTATCTGGATAGTTCACCCTAGAGATATATTTGACTTGAAATATCTGGATAGCTATTTTGATTCTCCATTTCACTTTGTTAAGGTGGACATGGCCTTAGAATCCCTAAGTTAATTCTGTCTAAATTCATTTCAAATTTTAATTTCCAAAATATGAAAAATTCACTTGACTTTCTTCCTTTTCTTTCCTTTCTTTCTTTCTTTTTTTTTTTTTCTTATCCCATCTTAATCTCTCCTGGCCATACAATCACTTTAATTTGGGCCCATTTGTTTTTATTTGTCTGACACTGCTCTTCCCCAGTGCAGTCGCTGCATTTTTTAACATGGGATACCTGTTATTTTCATTATTTAGTCCCAACCCCTATGTCTCCCTCCTCGAAATCAGTGAGCACTCCCAGTGAAGCCGGAAGCCAAGACTCAGGAGACCTGGGACCCTTAACAAGGTAAGAACTGTTCCTCTGCAAAGGCCAGGGGGAATGTCAATATTGCAAGACAAGAGAGGCAAAAAACACCATGCTGCTCTAGTTGTACACTATTAAATGTCCGTGCATCTGCATGTATACTCAGTCAGTTTATGTTCAGATTTACGGTGGCTTGCTATTTTACTGGCATAGAAATGATTTTAAGCACTAGAAATGATAAATTTCTATCTTATTTTTCCTTGAGTGGGCTAATTTAGCACCATGTGTCTTGTTTGACAAATACGAACACATCCATTAGCTTAGGCCTCAAAGAAAGAGAAGGATCAAAGGCAAGTGGAATATATATCCAGCTTCTCATTATTCTACTCTGGTTTGGTTTCCATGGGGATTTTTGTGAATAGAACACTGAGATGTTCTAACCCTAAATTTAATTTTTTAAGCATGGTGCTTATTGGCTAAATAGTATTGACTAATTTGAGAACTCAGTCCCCAAAGTGTTATTATTATTACTAATTATGATCATCAGGGTTGACTGTTCTGTTTTCTGAGTCAATTGCCAGACTTTTATTACACTATGTATATACTCGGAAGATTAGAAAACTTCAGAAAGTGAATATATAGACATGTTCTAATTCAACCACTTAAGGGGTAACCAAAAGGCAAAGATGTGAAGAGAAGTCTCATTAACATGCATGGAGTCATGGTAACTTTCTTCATCCAGTTGCCTTTGCTAAGACTCCCATATGCAGGTGCCCATAGGCAGGTGATATAAATGAGCTGGGCATGGGGGCCTGTGGTAACTGGTTGGGAAACACACTAGATAGGCCAGATGGTCTCCTCACAGCTCAGGCTGGTTGAGCTCATGTGGAAATATGGACCCGATTTTTCCACATCTTTCAGTTTTTCATGAGAAGCCAAAAATTAAAGCCTTTATGTAACAATCTCCATGTTAAATGTTAACGACTTTGTTAAAAGAAGTTGTGGGACAGATTTCACCTATGGGCTGGCAATTTGTGACCTCTGTCTTTGACTCTTAATTAAAATAAAAAAATGAAGTAAAATACTTTACTAAAACTTGAAATAAAAAAGAAACAATCATCCACCACACTAGTGTTCTAACAAGTCAGCCTTTGCCTTATTCATGTACCTTTCAATCCTTGTCTACCTGTGTGTTTCATGTTACCACATGTGTTACTGTGTGAGAGGTATAAATTTTTGCATTTTCCTTTTTCCATTCAACACATTCTCATAAGCATTTTCTGTTGAAAGTACATTGTTTCCATAGAGGCTGAGGCAATTTTGGTAGAGAAAATACGGAAATCAGAATAGTCTAGTATTAGCCTGAGCTCTAGGGTTTTTGTGGTGTGTGTGTGTGTGTGTGTGTGTGTGTGTGTGTTTCCTTTCTGAAACCAACATTTAAGTAAGACTGGAATTGTCTGACCCATATCTGCCTATTGGTGTGTTTCAGAAATGAGTATTTTGTTTAATACAGGGAATTTTGAAACAAGTGGACACTGCTTTCAATTTGAGAACAATGGAAGTAGAGGTTTCTGTGGGTACCAGGCTGGTTTATTCTAGCAAATTGCCTTTGTGATTTGGGGGCAGTACACGTCTTCTCTCATCTTTTGCTTTGAACACTTCAAAAGGTCTTTGAGGGGAGGGAAAAAAGTAACAATAACACAGTTATGTAAGATCTAACATTTGTTCAAGAGCTGGCACAATATAATTACATTCCTTAGGGGGTCCATTGGCCTATCATTAAGTTAATATATTTGCCTGTTTCTATACAATGATGGTGTTGTGTCATTAATGCTCAGCTTCAAGGGGGTACATTTGGCAGCATTAAATTCTATTACTGACTTCACAGTTGATGAACCCTTTTGAAAATTCTGTAGAGAAAGCTGACCTATGCTGTTACTGCTCTGGGGATAGCAGCCAATATTTCTTCTTAGAGAACATCACTCTTCATTTCTTCCCCCACTTATATGATGTTTTTGTAATTTAATGAATCACTTTGGAAGAGGTGCTGTCTTCCCCCCCCCTGTGTAATTCCAAGTAGCTTCCATTCTTGATAGGAACGTTCTGGCAAGGGTGGGCAACTGGAAATCAATGAGCAGATCCCTACCTGAGTGCAGGTTTCATAGGAATGCAAGAAAGTTGATGTTGAGGAAATAATGATTTTCAGAAACACTGAGCACAAGATTTGTTTGAGGAATAGGAATATCTTAGTAAATCTTGCCCTTATTTTGAACTAAGGAAAATTCCATGCAAATTTGTTTTTGCTTCTATAAATAAATATGAATTAATTTCAAAAGAACCTTAATATTTCAGTTTTTGAAATTCCACTTGGAATACCTTTTTTATAGAAGAAACCTCTTTGAAAACAGTTACTATTAACTTTAACACATCATAAAACATGAGATGGGAAAAGAGCTTGGTAAATCCTGAGAATATAGCTCTGTAGTCACAAATTTGCCGATGTATATGGAATGTGGGGTCTTTGAAAAGTGGAAAATCTTTCAGAAAATAACCCAAATCAAATTAAAACATCTGGTCCTACCTAAAGGTGCACATACATTCTCTGATCCATCTGTCAGAATCTCAAACCAAAACTGAAATTTTCTTTACAGAGCCTAAACTGGCAAGCATTTCTTATGTAACCCCTGTGAGTGGTTAATTTGCAAAGTGGCGCATTTAATTTACCCTGTTATATGGAAAAGTTTAAATCAGGGCTTTAAAAAAGTCAAACAAAAATTCCTTTTATTGATTTTTAAGAGCGGTTGAGTAAAGATTTTAAAATCAGTGAATAGAAAGTCAAAATATATAATCATTTTTCAATTATATTAGTGTGATTTAATTTTCACTTAAAGGGTCACAATTTGTTTTGCATTTTCTGCTTCTGTTGATATTGCCTGCTTCTCATATGCAATTTACATTTGTGGTATTTTTGTTTCTTTTAATTGCTTCTTTCTTGGTAGAAGCAATTAATCATTGCTCAGTTAATCACATTGGGCAAAGAACAACCTCTTAGATATTAAAAACTCTATTTTATTAATAAAACACTTGAAAGACTAGTTTTACTTAGGTTTAAAAATCCTGAATATACTATATGCAACTGAAACCCAACACAGTATTGAGAAAGTACTATGCTATGACTAATTAGGATTGGTTAAAAAATTCAAGGATATTTTAGTGTAGGAAATGTGTTACCATAATTCAGGATATCAAAAGGTCACAGAGGGAGGAGTGATCATTGTAGTAGTTAGTTAAATGGTACATGAGAAATTTAAACACCTATACCTATATTTTAAAACTTTTTGTAAATGAAGAATAAAAATATTTTTTCTCAATGATAAGTGTTAATCTCAAACCAACAACCTATGTCTTTTATACACAAGAGTGAAACATCTAGCATTTTATAGCCCTGAAAGAAGAATGGCTTATATTTAGTTGAATACGTTTCTCTTTTCCTCAGGAAATGGCAAGTTCCTTGAGGTCAGGGAGTAAGTGATATCTGACCTTGTGAGTATTTGATGAATGTTGGTTGAATGAATCAACTATTATCTTAATTTTTACAGATGAGGACGCTGAGGCACACACAGAATAAGTAATTGTCTCAAGTTCACACAGAACATAGATACAGTGCTAGGTTTTAACCTAGACGGATTGTTAGAAATTTTCACAACTATACCACTACCCTACATGATCTCTGACAGCAATTGCTATAGGTGATATACATGACTTAACCCAAAAGGTTATTATTCGTATTAAATAAATTAGTGTCTTAGCACTAATTTCTCAAGCACTTAGAAAGGAGTCTGGCATCTATTAAGTATATGTGAGTTTCGGCTATTATTACTGGGTTTTTTTCCCCTCACATTTTAGTCACATTTTTCCAATAGGAAGAGATCTCTTTAGATTCTTTCACAAAATTTGTTGGTGTCATTTTTAAGTTTGATGCTGCTGTATCTTCATCCAAGTAATTGTGTAAAAAGGTTGAGCAGGACAAGACCAAGGATGGATTGTGGTGCGTGTCCCCGGAGACCACTTTCGGGGTTGCCCAACTCTTAATCTGTAACTTCCATAGATTCAACCAGAAATGAATATAAGTGGTAATCATTCACCCACCTTTATTCTTCCCCTTCACATGGATGGCTCACAGGGAACTTTGCACCAGAGCCCTTCTCCTGGTTAGCCAAGATTCCTTTGGCTTCTCAGTGATAAACCTAACTTGGAGGCTATACTAGCCTGCACAAACCCAGGAAGGTGTGTTGATCTCATAATGTTCACGTGGCCACTAGGGTGTAAGCAATATCCTGTCCAAAACCTGATTCCAGGAAGAAAACTTTCAAAATGATTTAAAAAATAATGTGTTATCATGTTAATACTGTACAGTCTACTATTATGATGATAATACCTATCCTGTAGCGTCTTTAACAAAATAGTCAGTAGGAGAGGTTACTGGTGTTTGTCTTTGGCGAGAAGTGGCAGGGGGATGATGGTAGAAAAAGAATTAATTTCTGTCTTCATTTTCAACCATATGTGGTCTTAACACCATCATTAAGTTCTATTTTCCAAGCAATTAGGACATTCAAGTTCCCCCACATTTTATGTTTAATAATCTCTTATTATTATGGAAACAATTTCAGTACATTTTTGTACAATTAGAAGACATGGACAACCAAAAATTAGAGAAAAATCATATTCCTACCACCAGAAGTTAGCACTCTTAACACTTTAACGTATATTCTTTCACAAAATATATGTGTCATCATATATATGTTAAATGATATCATTATACAAGCTGTTGAATTGGCTTTTCTAATCAAGTGTCTCTCTTTTCCCATTTCAATACATTTTCATCTTATCTAATATCTACATTTTTTTCAGATTTCTCCAAGTGCCCCAAAATAATCCTATTGTATTTAAAATTGATCCCTGTCCTCCAGCTGTCAGCATCTAGTAACCAAAACTCTTATATCTATAGATTTTCTCTAGGGAGATAGGTCCCTCCCAAAGGG